CATTTCTGCCAATTGTTCGTTAGCCCTTGGATTTTTTAAGTGTGCTAGGTTGCTAACGCCTAACGCCATAACCCCCTTTTGGAGGACCTATTGTTCAGCCGCCCACTCTGGGTCAGACGCTGTTTGCAGCCGCCCACTCTGGATCAGACGCTACTATTGTCAGTTGGTCCGCGTCGGGTATTTCATTTCCCCGATACCACCCATATCTGGGAGGCGTTCCCCTATCCGCCACCTGGGGACGCGTATGGTGGAGGACTGGCATCCTCTTTGGAATAATAAATATTTAATTATTTTAAATAATCTCACTAACTTTGAAATGTTTACGTATTAACGTTCATGTTATTACTTACAGGATATGTTCATTTGTGAAAAATTGAAAATTCAAGTTTATGTTTTCTTTTTCCGATTGTAAAATCTATGTATCTCAATTGTTGTGTTTTAACTTTTTAAACGATAAAGCGATTTAAACCGCTAATCTATTATACTTATTCGTTATCAGTTAATTTTAGCATTGTAGTCTATAATATTTTCTTTTACCAGAGAAGTCAAAATTTGCTTTCCGTAATCCACTATACATATATTCGTATAGCAATTTACCATTGCGTTAAGAAATCTTTAAAAAATAATCTAACATGCACATCGTTACGATCTAAATACTTAAAGACCCCAGATTAACCCAACGTTGATACACCATATAACTTGACTTTTACAACAAATTATCATATAACTCATATTTAATTGGTGGTTTTAGTATATATAAAATACAAAAGTTTTGTTAAAGTTCAAGGTTTAATCAAAAGGAGGGAGAGTTATTCAAGGTTTAATGGAAAAATCTGCTGAAAAGGATAAAACATATACATAGTATATTAAAACATCCTTATTTTATTCAAGAATAGTATGTAGCTTAAAAAGGTCATAGGATGACAAATAAATATATGACTTATTTGCAATTCTTTGTATCAATAATTCTTGGACAATGAAAATATCATCGCCAAAATCTTTTTGTCAAAGCTTTCGAATGAAATAATTTTCTAAAATATCTTTCCACTCTGAATCCTCCCAATTTTTGTTTTGACCGCTTTGACTGCCGTATATATCCAAAAGTATCGGGGGTCAAAATCGCTGCATGTGTAATTTTAGCAAGCAAGCAATTTAAGTAAACCCAGCCTGTGAGGCATGTTCACCCCTAAAAATTACGTTTGGGTGTAACAATTGATTGAAGTGAGGTGTATAAACTCGAGTTAAAAACAGGAGTCACAATGCTACAGGCCATCCCTTTCCAACTATAGCCCTTTGATGCACTCTGGGCACACTTCGTGCCCAGGTTTTTGGGGTTTTGATGATTTTTTATGGATGTTAAAAGTGAATCTGGAACAAACCATGAAGTGGAAATATTCAGGAGTGGCTAGTGTACCTGTTGAATACAAAGCACGTGGTGGTTGTGTGTATTAAGGTATAAAAAAATGCTTATTAAAAGCTTAAAACTTTTATTTTAAAGAAGATCCTTTTGGAATAAACTCATTCCATCATCAGTTTAATAAAAAGTTGTCCAAAAAACATTGTATGGCCACGTGAAAACGTGGTAGAGAACTCCGTATTAAAAAACTATCCTTAAGATGTTTATGAAGGTAAATGCAATATACTGTTGATTTGTAGATTAATAAAAACTGAAAATTGGGGCATCTTACATGACCTCCTGTAGTTGGTGAGGTTTTATTGACTTACATTACCTCTGGTATGTGCTGGAGTCTAGGGCTAACTAGAGTCTACACATTGCAATAATGTACAGTGTTCCCAAGTGGTCACCGATCCAAATATTAACCGTAACCGAGACTGCTTGAGTTCGATGATCGAAGGAGAACTGGTATATTCAGTTGTAAAGACCAAAGAAGGCTTCTCGTCCTGACGAAATACCTGCAGAATTGTTACAAGTATGAAAAATGAAAGAATGGCGATTATCACTTTCTTTAAGAAGACATACAGCAGCGGAAAATTGCTAGACAACTGTTTAGAAGCAATATTTATAACGATTCCCAAGACATAAAATCTCAGACAATGTAGCGATTATTAGTTTAATGGGTAACGCGCTCAATTTTTTTATGAAACTATTGCAGTGCCGCATATTATGAACATTGCAGGGAGATAACTGGTGATGAGTAGTTTGGTTTTTGAGACGGTATGGGTACTTGGAAAGCTCTTCTTTGCATATAAATACTCGTAAAAAACAGCATTGAGTTTGGGAAAATTATTCACGTATGTTTTGAGATTTGCAAGAAGTCTTTGATATAGTACCACATACATTTCAATACTATTTCAATGCCTAGACTCAGTTGGTCTGGAAACGTATGACATTAGATTACTCAAAAATCTTTACTACAATTAGACCGCTTGTTTCAAGGTGAATCAAGAGGTTTCAGCTAAAGTTTCTTAAGCGTGGTGTCAGATAGGGATGTGTTATGTCACCTATAATTTTTAATGCCTATACTGAACCACTTTTTAAGACATTGTTAAATAGTCGTCGCGAAGGTGTTAAAATCAGTGGTGAAATTAATAATAACATCAAATACGCAGATGACACCGCCATAATGGCAAAGTGTCTAGAAGACCTTCAAACCCTGTTAAAAACTATGAACAATAAATGCCCTTAAACGGGCCTAATAATCAATGCAAAGAAAACAAAATGGATGTTAGTCGAAAAAAAATATTATCGAAAATTCAATACCAAAATTAATTATTAATAACAAAATCCTGAAAAGGGTGGAACATTTTAGATATTTAATTAACCTAATTGACTGCAAGTTTGAAAGTGAGGAAATTTAGACCAGAATAGAACTTGCACGAAATGCTTTATTAACTAGCGTTCTGTATTACGCAGTGGATGTATGTTATTGACCATATGTATAAGAGTACTAAAGTGCTACGTCTGAGCTGCTGTGTTTCATGAATGTGAAACCTCAACAAAAATAAAAATCTATTCACAACCACACAATAATTATAATCCCTTAGTCATATACATCCCCTTCACACTCATATCCAAAAAATTCCATGATCCATCTAAAGCCAAGCCACACATCAGGATCTTTTTTTATTATTTTAATTACTATAGTAACGTACACACTTTTTTTTTTATCTTTTTAACATGACTGCTCTAACTTATTCCTTAGGTTATGGTTTCGGACCTCTGGAGATCTCAGTCCCTTATTCAATCATTTTTTCTCTCACAACAACAATAAAACATTATAATTACAACTTTATCTAAACAGTTTCACCCTTTATTAATCAATTTTGTTAGTTTTCCATAATTTATTAACACACATTAATATTTTAATTAACTCTCTCTTCTACATAATATCCATAAACACAGACACCTTATATTTCTTAGGAACCAAATGTTGTTTTTTAGCATGTAGGGCCTTTCTACTTAAGTTATAAGTTAAGTAATATACCAGCAGTATAATACACCCATTATTCTGATCACCTCATAATTCAAATACACACTCACATAAATCAATTAACATTTCACTATGTAATAATAAAAGTAAATACCCAACTTCCTGCTCATATCGGCTTTACATATTCCATGTACCAAATGTTGAAAAAACCCATAGGGCTTTTTATAAATATCTTTAGTTCTCCACCATTGAATTCAGATATCTGTATAGTTGGTTGACTACCTACATTCATAACTTTTATTAATCTTCAATCCACCTACAATATACCTTATTTCCAAATTTTTCAATAAACTTTCAGGGTAAATCTTGCTTTAAATTCCAATATATTGATGGTAGCTACTGTCAATCAAATTTTAACATACTTTAAGTTTTAACTATTAACTGCTTTATTTAGACTTCCCTCATAATATGTCATTTTAATCAGTTGCTATCAACTAGGTCTCACAGATACTTTGTCTAAAGACCAGTAACGTATTAACCACACTTTTGTAATACCTTTGGTCAAAATTTTAACTTTAATTAACTTTAACGTTTGCTTTAAATAAAGTGGTTATCCTTACTTTAGGATAGCACTGATGATAAAATAATAATTCCGTAAACTTTCTGTGATGTAGACCGATAGGGGTTTTTATTAATATCTCTTTTATAAAGCCAATTTTTTAAATAATCAATTTTGGGATACTTGGTATACAGCCAACTACAAAAATGTAGTTTCTTCGTGGAAAAATAAAAATCTTAAAAAATTAAAAGGGTTTAAAATAAAAATGGTAAAATACTTTGGTCATATAATGAGATCACCTAAATATCGCTTACTCCAGTTGATTATTTAGGCCAAAATGAAACGAACATGCTTGGTCGAAAGAAAACAACAGTCATGGTTGCGTATAATATATAATGGATAGGACTAACTGTCAAGAAATTGTTTCATCTAGCTGCCGACCAAGAAACGTTTCATCCGCTTGTTTTTACGACAATATCTAACTCTTGAAAACAACCATGGCCCACGAAGAAAAAGAATCTGATCAAACTTCTAAGTATATTAATAAAATATAAATCAAATTATTTCTAGAAGGATTACTTTTTCTTTTTCTCCACCAATCCACACAACCATTTTATATTCGTGACAACTTAGTTTTCAAGATGAAAACTTTTATCGAAGCTAGTTTCAAAAGTTTTTTAAATTGGTAAAATTAAAAAAATAATATTAAATAATTTTTAAAAAATTAACTGGTTTTCTTTTACTTAACTATAATATATTAATATATATTTTAAATGATAAGCATAATGGTATCTTCAACAATGAAGATGAATAAACTAGCGCTATATTGATATGCTAGATAAAAAGTTTCTACTCGAACTGTAAAATTTAATTGACACGAACTTCAATATTGTGGACATATATGGCACCTATTTTACAAAGTTTTACATTATTATATTATAGATAATATTGTTACAGGAAAAAAATCTTAATTAACTAAACTAAAGTTATTTATATATTTTAAAGTACAATTTACAATAAGCGTTCTATTATTAATTCCCTTGTTACAGATTAGAGTCTCCTACCAGATCACTGGAGATAAAAGCCGCAAAGAGGATCCACATGGAATCTCAGGGAGGCAAGATTCGAACGATCTCCTTCAACGATTTGACCCTTCATTCTGAAGTGGGGTCCATCAAATTAGAAACAAGTTCAATTCTAATGCCATTGATACCAACAGCTAAGGTGATGTCACGAGCAGCCACCAGTGACACATACGATATTTATCAGCTCTGCGTTTGCGAAAGTGGCAAATTATTTCTTGCTTCCCCCCATCTAGTGTGTGCTTCTGAAAATGACGATAGGTTGTGCCGATAATGTTGGTAATTAATTAGATATTTTTTCGTGTATACTTTTTGGACTAAAGCGCAATAATTTTATTAAAAGTATAATTTTAGTTTTTAGGAACTGATAAAATTTAACAAAAATAGGATTTTTTATTTCTATTGTAAATAGACGGATATTTTACCACTTTATGAATCATTTTTTGTTCTTTACTTTTTTATATATTTGTTCTTCATGTTTTAATATTGTCTATTACCTGCTTCGGCCATTATTTTTTAGATTATATTCATCTCTTACTTGAATATATCCATTTTATCACTTAATCTCGGTATGTTAATTACTTAAAATCTATTCTTAATATTACCCTACTATTAAGTTTCGAAGATTATGCATAATTTCTTATGCATAATCCTATCATTTTTTCTTTTCAATTTTTACATAAAATAACAATATTTCATCAAATAGGTTTGCTCTAGGACCAACAGTCCCCGCCGAAATATTTTTTTTTTTATTTTTGCCATTTTTAACGCAAATGCGACGCATTCTAAGCCGTCCTTGATAGTACACATTTCACTATAGTAATTTAGTAAAGAGTGAAGTATATACTAATGCAGTGATCTAGTGACTCAGGACACTAAGATACGATAAGCTCCGATATAGACTTTTTTTTTTGAACCTATTCTCTATCCTTCCATTGTTGGATATAGGTCTCCCCCAGTTCTCTCCATCTTTCCCTATCTTGAGCTGTTCCTTGTTTCCTGTTTCCTGATGTCATCTTTCCACCTCATCTGTGGTCTGCCTCTTGATCTCTTTGCATTGTATGGACGCCACTTTCCGATGGCATTGTTCCATCGTCCATCTTGGAGACGTTCATTGTGTCCAGCCCATTTTCATTTCAGTTTTGCTGCTTGTTCTATCGCGTCTACTGTCTTTGTTCTGGTTCTGATCCACTGGTTACGTTTTCTATCTCTAAGTGATACACCCAACATTTGTCTCTCCATCGCTCTTTGTGCCTTCCTTATCCTATCCAAATTGGCCTGTGTAAATGTCCATGTCTGTGCTCCGTAGGTGAGCACCGATATGATACAGGAGTTATATACCTTGCTTCGTAAGTATAGAGGGATTGTTTGATTTTTTAGAACGTAAGAGAGTTTGCCGAACGCTGATATAGACTACAGAGACGGAATTTAAAACTTGACATAACAAAGCGCCTTACGAAAATTTAGCGCCTTACTTCCCAACAATTGAGTTGGTTTGATATATATTTTTTTTAGTAAAAGTAATCTTTTGTCTTAATAAAAGTCATAGTGTAATAGAGATGGCAAAGATGTATCGTAAAATTAAATGTAACGATATATTTTAAATTAAATCGATAGTTTTATATTATCATGGCAATTACAACTAAATAAGAAACAGTTACTAATCATGGAATACGGAAGCCAAAATTATGCAGGGAAGGTGATCCCTGCATAGAACATATGGCCTCGCAGGTTGTAACCCAGCGAAACCTCTATGACAGAACTATTAAAGTATCTTTAAAAACTTCAGAGTTGATTATAAAAATTTATATCTGAAATGTGAACACAATATATCAGGCTGGAAAACTTCATAGTATCATTCATGAAATGACCAGACTTGGAATAGGTATAATAATATAAGAGAAATAAGGTGGCAAAATGGTGGTGCTTGTATTATTGACAGCTATAGGGTAGGTATACCACTTAGGAAATGATGACGGTCAACATATGTATAGGCTTGCAGTAATCGTATCTTCTCAAATACATCAATATGTTACAAATTTTATAGCTGGTTCTAAAAGACTAATAATAATCCAGCCATATAGTACTCCGGTCAAAGTAAATGTTTTACAGGTGTATATCTCCACCAGCGATAAACCAGAAGAAGAGGTAGAGTAGTCTTTCTAGTGTTAACACTTTCTTGTAGTCAACCTCAAAATAGTTACTTTTTTCATTTAGGGTTTTTATCTATCTTTTTTATTTAGATATATAATAATATTCTCTGCGCTCGTAGCGGCAAAAGATCAAGCTTTACCTGTTACTCAAGCCCTGAAGAAAATGAAAAATAATTGAACCCCGGATGAAGATGGAATAGTATCAGAAGCACTAAAAATTGGAGGGGATGTATTACTTGAAAAAATTAAACAACTTTTCAATATCTGCCTTTACAGCGCCAATATTCAACAGACTGGAACAACGCTACTATGATTCTATTACACAAAGCAGGAGACAAAGCAAATTTAGAGAATTACAGACAGATTAGTCTCCTCAGCCATATATATAAGTTGTTTACGCGAAGAATGGAAAAAAATTAGAGACTTATCAACCAAGGAAACAGGCAGGATTCCGAAAAAGTTATGGAACAAATGACCATCTACAAAGTATAAAAACCCTAATAGAGAAAGCAGTGGAATACAATAAACCTCTAGTTCTAATATTTATCGATTTTCACAAAGCCCTTGACACAGTTGAGCTAAGCAAAATATTACAGGCGCTTAAATAATGCAGGCTAGATTATAGATATACTAAATTATTATACAAAATATACCTGCAGGCACTGTCAGATTACATACTAGCAGTAATCGCATAAAAATAGAACGGGGGGTTAGACAAGGAGACCCAATGTCACCTAAACTTTTTAATACGGTGCTAGAACATGCTTTTAAGAATTTGGATTGGATGACAAAGGGGATAAAAATAGATGGAGAATATCTAAACAACTTACGTTTCGCCGATGATATACTTATAATAGCTGAAGATCTAGGTATGGCAAGAGAGATGGTACAGGAACTCACTTCTGGCTACAGAAAATGTAGGTTTATATATAAATATCTCGAAAACAAAAATCATGACCAATTTGGTACCCAACCAGAACATCAGTATTGGTGGGAAAGAAATACAACTCGTAGATAGATATAAATACCTGGGACATGAAATTATGATTGGCAGGGATAACCAGACTCATGAACTGAAGAGAAGAATCGGCCTTGGGTGGGCAGCATTTGGAAAACTGAGAGAAACTTTTAAAAGTGAGCTGCCCACATGCCTAAAGAGAAAGATATTTGATCAGTGCGTCCTCCCAGTCTTGACGTACGGAGCAGAAACACTTACCTTAACTAAAGCAGCAGCTACCAAACTGAGAGTCACACAGAGAAGAATGGAGCGGTTCATGTTAGGAATAACTCTGCGAGACATAATAACCAAAGAAGACATCAGGAAAAGAACCGGAGTGACTGACATCATCGAGAAAAGAATCGAGACACATAGCCCGAATGACAGATGGGCGATGGACAAAGAGGTTATTGGAATGGAGGCCAAGGGAAGACAAGAGAAGCGTCGGTCGACCACCTACAGGATGGACTGACGATTTAAGAAAACTCAATAAAAGCTGCATAAGAGCAGCGCAGATAGACGGGGTTGGAAACATGAGGAAGAGGCCTATGTTCAGCAGTGGACTCTTGAGGCTTAATGATGTTCTTCTTGGCACAGGGCATTAGCAGGGTTGGAAAACAAATGTTATTATCTAATATACATGCAAAAAATTTCAGTAGTTAAGACTAATTCTATCTAACAAGGTCATTAAAGTTATTAAATAATATATTAACTAAATATTCATATAAATGTTATATTAATAAACAAAATTTATTTTCATTTAGTATTAGGTGTGATATCTAAAACATTCTGTAAATACAAAAATTAGGCTAGATATTATAATAAAAGAAAACCAAGATGTAGAGAAAGCAGTGGACTATTTAACAACAGTTTTACACACAACAGGATGGGTCGCAACACTACAGCGCCAAAAAGTGTGCAAGAAAACCATAATATTTCCTTCATATAAGAGAACTGGTAGCAGAAAAAAGAAGAGTTCGACGCATATGGCAACAAACGAGAAATCCACTAAATAAAAGGTACCTTAACTGGATGTCATAGACTAAATAGAGCACTACATGAAGAAAAAAACGACTTCTGCAAGTTTTATATTTCGAACCTCTCACATCAAGACCACTCTATATGAAAAGCTACAAAAAAGTTTAAACGACCGACAATAAAAAATTCACCTTTAAAAAAAACAGGTATGACCTGGGCCAGCACAAACGCAGAAAAAGCAACAGTATTCGCAAAGCACCTTGCAACTGTATTTGCAGCACCAGATACTAATAACGATAAAGATGATGATATAAGAATGTACCTCGAAACTTCATGTCAACTATCTTTTCCTCTGACAACATTTACTCCGACAAAGGTTCAAAAACAAATAAAACTGCTAAATCCGAAGAAAGCTCCTTGCTATGGTTTGATAACAGAAGAATTACTTTAAAACCTACCGAGAAAAGCAGTGGTGTTTTAACAATAATATACAACAGCATACTACGTCTTCGATACTTTCTAATACAATGAAAATTTGCTCAAGTTACTATGATTCCGAAACCTGGTAAGACCAAAACGCAAGCAAATTCATATCGCCCTATAAGTCTTCTCCTAATAAGGTCAAAAGTATTAGAAAGGCTGCTAATACATAAAATCAAGCAAGTTGTTCCGATAAACAAAATTACCACGATACCAATTCAAATTTAGACGTAAATACTTAACCATACAACAATGCGACAGAATAGTAAATATAATTATAAAAACTCTCGAAAAGAAAAAGTTTTTGGCTAGAGTGTTTCTAGATATACAACAGGCATTTGATAGAGTATGGCATGAAGGTCTTCTCTACAAACTGAAGTTACATCTAACAGATCAACTATTATTCAAGTCAGAATTGAGTACAGCTACTTAAATTACCACATCATACCATCTGGCGTACCTTACGGTAAATTTTGGGCCCATTTCTGTATCTGATATTTACAGCAGATGTTCCAATCAGCAATGATATTTTCTTAGCTATATTTGCCGACGACACGGGTATCTTGGCAGTAGATATCGACACTAATGTAGCATCACAAAAAGTACAAAATCATTTAGATCAATTACAAAACTGGCTTAGGCGATGAAAGATCACTCTTAATGCTA